TCTGACGCGTCTGCCTCCGCGACCCGAAAGGAGAAGCGGCGATGGAAGATGATGATGATGATGATGAGATGATCAATAATTACATATTGAAATCTAACTTATGTGCATACTAAATGAAATTAACAGAAATAACCTTTGCAACATGTCAATGTTGTATTATATATACATACTCTAAACACGTCAGCAATATTGTGATTAACTGATGGGGTGGTTTAAATTCTACACAGGTACAATTAGTGTTACAATAAAGCCATGCAGAACGTAACTCTAACCTAAATCAGAGTCTGTGTCTCCTACTACCTTCAGGATGATCTCACTCAAAAGACAAATAGAAAGAACTTCAAAAATTTCGCTCACCAGTGATCCGAGTAGAATCCGTACCACAGAAGCTGGATGAACTGAAAAGTCAGTCCGAGCATGATGGTCTCTTTAGGACCGCATGCCTTCTGCAAGATCAGCAACACAATGGTCTGTGCTAAAACGGATAAAATGCCGACGAAACCGATGAACAAACCGACGGCTTCCGGTGAAAATCCGACGATAAGCTTTAGGTAAACAAAGAAGCATGAAAACTGGCCCGCTTCCGGCAAGTACGACAGAAACACGACGGCGCACAGCAGCATTACGGTCGAATCCTGTCCGACCAGCCGAAGAGACTAAAATGAACGAACAGCGGTTTCTGATTTTATCCAGGCGAAACGTTTAGTGCAAGTAAATAATCGCTCACGGCAAACGGATCAGCGCTTTCCCAGCTGACCAGCGATCGGGCAGGTCGCAGGCTCTCAGGCAAACTTTCTGGCACGTACAGCAGGATGATCAGTATATCGAGCGACGCAACGACTGTGGCGAAAGCGACCACCAACTCGTCGCTCCATGTTTCGCCGATATAAGCGCCCAGTGCTGGGGAGACGATCAGGCTGGCGCCGAAAGTGGCCGATACCTGCGAAAATTAACAGGATGATAAATATTAATTCAAATTACCGTCAAATTACTAATCCGTATGCAAAATTTCTTTCTTCTGCTTCTGTGATATCAGCTACATAGGCGAGAACAACGCTGAAGGTTACCGTGAACACGCCGGAGATGGAAAACAAAGCGAAGTACCACCTGAAAAATGCTACCAAGTTCACTGAAATTGGTTAGGTATGAGCAAAGAGGACAACGAAGAGAGGTCAATCATTTAAAGATCCATTAAAAAACGTTCATGCCAAAGTACACAGCTCTGTACAGCATTCTAAAGGATGCAGCGATAACAAATTACATATCAATGACTGATGAAGGTAGCAATGTCATGGATGTGACAATTATAATGCTACTACTTATGTAGATCATAGCATGTGCCTTAGAACTGCTCACCGTTCAAGTTCAGAATGTCAGAATGTTAGGCTTTCACTTTCCTGTATATTATTCTCTTTAGTTCATTTCTACGGAACGGCATTTCAAATATCTGCATTTATTCAAACACTTATATCTAAAACTATATGCTGCATATCTATAAAGAAACAGCATAAAACACTGTTTACGTCCTTTGCACAACGCAGGGTTTGATTAATAAAGTGAGTGACTACCACAAACGTTTCGTTCCGTGTCACACAGGTCTCAATCAACGTAGAGAGATGGGTTAGCTTTGGAAGTTCTTTCTTTCGTTCGCACCTGCTCTTAGGTTTGAAGCCAGAAGGAGAGTTTGTTTCATGTTGCGGTAATGTCAGTAATTTTTCGGTAACAGGGACAACATTTAATCCGCACAGAGTTCGCATCCTTTGTCACGTTAGTCGTCTCATAAATAGACGATTCGTACCTCCTTCAAGCGCCTATTTAGCCAATGTGTTTCTTCAATGACGTTGGTACATCTGACCATCGGGCAGTTGTCCTTCCTGTGCCGCGTGCTGCACAATCCCGGAGATTCTCGCTTTCGCATTGTTTATTG